ATTTTCTGTACTCTCGCCAGGAAACGTTCCTTTGCTCTATCCATTTCTTCGTTCGTCTGCGAATGAATGAATGACGAGTTTTAGATTGAGCACAAGTTTTTATACTTGTTGCAGCCGTTACAATTTCGGTAAGATAATCAGTGAAGCTCTTCCATGCCACCAAAGGATCGTGATCATCTTCTGGCCTAATTATTGCCTAATTATTGCCAGGTTTTGCAGCTTTTTGTAGTCTATGATGGCACGAGTACTACTCTTTCGGTTTTCTTGGGTAGATGCGTAGCCTATATAATCAAACATCAATATGGCATGAACACTACGACCTAGTGGAGACGTGACATTGACAGATTCCACCATCAGCTCCTCGTTAGTCAGCACTAAATCCAGTGTTGATGGTTTGTGACCTGCTCCAAATCTGGTGGGTTTTGTTACGTGGTTGTACAGTGGGATAATTGTGAGATAATTGTTTCTCGAATGGCCGGTGGGAAGGACTCGATCTTATGGGATTGGGGCAGTTGAAGTCACCCATTATGAGGGCATGGGTGAAATTTAGTGATAACGCATTCTTCATGGTTTGCAACAAAATCTCGTTGGACCTCCCATCCTTTAAACTTCACTGTTGCACACAATTAAAACCCCTTTAACAGTTCAATCGGTTCACACCACGTAGTAAATGTGGCCGAGGCGTTTTGACCCCCTTACTTAGTTCGCGCCCCCCGATCTAAGAGGATTTTGGCCATAGAGGAAGCGATCGGAATCCACCTACATAATCCCCCCCCCCATATACTCCCAGAAACAATTCGCAAAAACACTCGGTTTTCCATGGCCAACACCACATACGACACAGCTATCCCCCACCCGTCCCTATTGACCCGAACCAGTGCGCATGTGGGAGGACCAAAGTATGAGCAACATCCGGACATGGAACTGGAATGTTGACTATCTCTTTTCTAACTTTTACTGATCTGTCCCCCCTTCTAAACAGGTTGATATAAAGTGTGACGAACTAGCATGTAGAAAAATCACCGCAAACGAGCTTGTTCGCTACTTTGTGTTTTCTGGCAATGGGTAATGATGGTATATTTGGACAATCATCAGTTTCTCCAGTCAACCATATCCTCAGGAAGCGCTAGGCTTGAAGCTATCTTTATTTAGAGCACAGTTATAGCGCGTGTTTACCGTTCCGTCTCGGCTTCGAACTCCGGACCCAACGCCAGAAAAGCTTGCACGGTAATACTATGTCAACCAGCTCATCCCCTAGGGGGATCACGGTTGTCGATTTGTGTTTGCCCAGATTCCGTGGTCGATGCTAGACCGTCAGCTACTTGAACGCGGTAAGACGAAAGAGAACCAGTCCATTTTCTGGTAACCCTGTTTTAAAGCCTACCACCGATCCAGAACCACAATCAATATAGGTTCGGACAATTGCGCTGGAAACATACTAGTCTGAAACTGAATTCACATTCAACATACAATTAAGTCCACCACTGATGATCTCTAGTAAAAGTGTAACTCGAGTCCAGTGCTACTGTAAAATATGTTTGACTGTATGAAGACTCAGGATTGTGCACCGAGATGAAGTTTGAGGGTTGATCATTTTATATCAATAGGAAAATGTGTTGTTCATGGTATTATACTCAAATATTTTCAATTTACTTTTATGTGATTATTGGAGGATTGGATTCAATTGCATTGGGGAATTCGTCGTGCATGTCGCAAATAAAGTGTGAACTCGAAAGCTTGGAAGCACTGGACAGCTGTTTCGACCTGTATGGGTCTCATCAGCAGTGTGAATCCATCGACCCAAGTGAGTATCAAACAACCAAATCATAACCCCGAAGGCTGAGCTGAGGTGAGCTGGGCGTGATGATTCCAACCAGCTATATCGTGTAAATGGAAAATGAAAAACGGTCTGATCAGCTGCTCGGTGGCAGAGTGGGTAGCATTCTGGCGTTCTGCCTGTGAGGTCCCGGGTTCGATATCAAGTTGGGTCGATGGATTCGCAATGTTGATGCCCCCCAATCAGGTCGAAACAGCTTTCGTTGCTTACTAGCGTTTTCAGTTCCCGCTTCATTTACTATATACAAGACCAATTCCCTTTGCAATTTGCTTTCAGTCAATCAAACGTGCCCTTTTCCAAATAATCGATTTGTGGCCATTTAGCCCTTAACCTGTATAGAAATCCTAGCTTGGTGGGGGGGCTTGCGATTGGAGTTAACACATTGTCATCTGTCTCCCTTCGTTGGTTTTGGGCCAAATGAATTGACTGACAACCATTGAAAACGATATTGAAACAAACATGGATTGGAAATCTGGTTCAGCCATGAAATGAGCTGATTGGCACAGTGGCAGCGCCTTCCGTGAGATCGGTCCGGAGTTAAAATCCCGGACGGGACGGTGAATAAGCATTACTGATGAGCTCTAATAAGAGCGAAACTGGAATCTAGTGTTTCTGAGTGTATGTTTGATCCGACGAACTGAGGATTGTGCGTGAAGCTGAAGTCAGAAGGATAGTCAGTTCACATCAGTCGATTCTACAATCCATACTTTTGTAACAAAACAGTTTTAATCGACAACGAAGAGAGTTTTAACGTTTTACAAGCTGTATTACATAAGAATTGGGCAAGTTATAATACTTATTTTTGGCGTTGCTGTTAAATTTATTGATTGTATATTGTTGACAGATAACCATGTTGATGTTTATTTCCTTGACAACAGAATGCTTATTTTTACTGAGCAACGAGTGATAGACCACAAGTGTACCTTTACAGGTAGACGAAAAGGAAAAACCGAATACTAGCCCAAATGGTACAGAACGAATAAAATGGGAATAATTATTTACGTTACGTGATCAAGTGTTTTGGAGAACTGGATTTGATTCCCTGATCCAAATCACTATTGTACCGTCCATCGTGCTTTTAACAGTATGTTAAGGTTTATTCAGATGATTTTGTTTACTTGTTGGAATATCATCTTATACGCAATGATTCTTATTAGCCTTATTCTGATTAGATTGAAATAATTATGAAATTCATTAATGAAAAACTTGATCTGCACCTGTGAAAATCTGTTTGAACCTTGTGTCAGGTTCACGCAACCGATTCCGATGAAGGACCCAACGCACAGATTCTGTACTCACTTTTAGACTTTGCAAACTTCAAAGTCGATCCAAACACCGGATGGATTACCGCGAATCGGGTGTTTGATCGCGAGACACGTGATTCTTACCAGGTAAGCAAATCGATAAATACTACACATGTGTAGTACTTTATATCCCAAAAGAAGCATATATCGAGTCTTTCAAACGCAGCAACTGATATCCAGATTCATAATAAACATACTCTGCGAACATTATGACAATTATGATTTGTTGAATAATGTGTTTAAAGACCGACAAAATGCAATCAAAATAGTGTTATTGTATTCATACAACTCAGCAGATAAGCATGGTCTGGGTCAGGTTACTTTTAAATCCATGGTAATACTTTTTGGGATTTATTCGCAACGATCTATGTGTGCTTGTTTACAGTATGCCTTTGTGCACATTCTTCATTCGACTGTACGCCGGATTCAATCAAGGTGCGGATAGTAAATATTTCAATCAAACGCAAAACTGTTTGACTAGAGCTTTCAAAAGGTTTAAAAATTGTCCAACTGACATCGATCCTCCAAATCAGACTCTTAATGCGACTCGTGCTCACTGTTAATCCACTATCTTTGGCCGGCCAGTCAGTTGGCTCCATGAATAAGTTTATCAGGGAAAGAGGTAAGGAGAAATCTTCCCCGAACTTTTCGGGGTTAGATGACTATTCGATTGCCTGGTGGCTCATGGCACCAGCTGTTTGTTGGACGCTTCATTTCTTTACTTTGCTGACTACAAGGGAGATAAACTGAATGCTGAATGAGCTGGTGGGTTGTTATGTCAATCAGTTGCCTTTATTTGCAACAGGCTGGAAATCAAGTTTAACCTATCTCCGTTCAACCGATTGATTAAGAGAACGAAGAACTACGAATTTACCATGTGGAAATACTTAACCTAGGTAAGAAAGCACGCGAAACAAGTAAGTACCAGTCAAACTGGCCATATTTCAAAAGCTTTCTGTAAACTTTACTGAAAGATCTATTCAGACTTGATAGAAAACATAAATATTTCTGTTAGTGGTGACTGGCTCTCCGCGCATCCTTTTCCAGTTTCGTAACTAAGCTTGTTTATGTAACCATCCCCCGTTCGCTGTTGTTGTTCTTGATGTTAGTGGTGGTAGTTCAGTAGTTTTCTAATTGTTTTTCATTGTCAATAACCATTAGGAACGTGCTACACGTGTGCAAATACACTCATATCAAGATTTATGTAATTAGGTAAACGATGGCATTACTTTGCCATTTGCGTGCCTCCATAGATATTAAGCTATGGTGTATTTAGTTTTTATTCCTATAATGTTTGTTACCCGTCGCTGCGGCATAACAAAATAGAGAATGCCAGGACATATTTTAATCGAACAGTATGCAAGACTTCAATTTTAAAGGGCAAATTCGTCGTAACTGTGGCAAATGAAGCGTGAAATGAAAAGATAGAAAGCATTGGACAGCTTTTTCGAACTGATTGGGTTTGCTGTATACACGACGATGAATTTCCCCTTTGAAATGAGATCAAATCCTCCATTGCTCACATGAGACTTCCATTTTACCCCGGGGTTGTGTTGATGTTTCTCTATCAGAACAGACTAACACTACTACATTGTTCGATTTTGTTTCCTGTTTGAGTCTTTATGACACATCTTGATGTGATGAACAGCAGGTACATAGTCACGAACACCTGCTATTCAGGGATGTACACCGGTAATCTAAGCCCCTGGACTGAACGACACAAACCACATAAAACCCCACTAGGTTAGGCGCAGTATTGTACAGGTTGACAACAAAGCTGCTTACCACTAAAGTTGGATATCTGTGGTGGGGCTCGAACCTCGGACCATAGGATCCGGAGCGCGCCAGTAACCCCGACTAAACCACTGCGCCACCACTATACAAATATCTCAATGAAATTTGCAATGCGGTTTGACGATTTTACACCGTATGCTCTCCTTTTTAAACACCGCAATATTGCGAAGGTACTTCACTGATATCCAGGTAGATAACGAAATAAACCACACGCATTAGAAGGGCTAGCATTATGTTACATTTGTGTGCCCTCATACCCTTTCCCTACTCTGTCTAACCACACGATTTAGTGCAATTGGTCTAAAGTAATTTGATCTTACCCTAGCCTCCTCCTTCTCCATTAGAACCCAGTACGAAAAGCTTCGAACCTGACAAGCAAACATTGGAGGATGTGCTTCAATTGTATGGGGACGTCTATCCTACACTATGTGACTTACAAGCACGGGAAGCACCGTTAGTACTGCAAAGATTTACTTATATATCCCATACAGAAAACGTATTATTGGTATGACAGCTACCCTGTGGGCAAAAGAATAGCTCATGTTCTGAATGTGAAGTTCTCGGTTCGATCCCCACATAGATTAATCAATTCGCCTTGATCATTGTACCTAACAATGCCGATTTCCAGTTTTTGTTATCGGTTCTTATTCTGTGTACGTGACGAAGTTCATTGGGTAACTGAATCATCTCCTCGCTATCATGCACATTTCTATGAGCGAACTCATTTGTTTACCATCTATGTCCGTAGAAACCAGCTTCGACGTCACTTTACATACAACTGAAATGGCAGTTGCATTCTCAGTGTTATTGATTACCGCGCAAACATATAACACATTTGAAAAGGCAGGCTCGAGAAGGACAGGCGAAAGTAAAGCAATACTTCCTTTCAAGCATTTACAGGACCGAAGAGGGAATAATGTAAACAATTTGTTCGGTGCCCATCAAACATTGGAAAAGATGTTCTCCACACCAGTTGTTGATAATATTTTTAGACATGAAAAATAGAACAAAAGTACCTGCTGAGTCAGAAAGAAAATAGCATTGTTCGATGAGTGCACAAGGTAACTGGGATTGAAGTGGGTTTGAACAACAATTCCGCGTATGCGAACGCTAGCTTCCACCCGACTGTAATTTCTAGGGGTACACAATTAGGCGCACTGTACATTGACTTACTCATTCTATCCAGAAATGAAGTTCATCAGTAAATATTCACCGCTTAGCAAATTACCTGACAGTGTGAATTGACGTGCACTGTAAGTGAATTACCTACAATTGACAACCAGTGCTGTGTCAGGTGGTGCACGACGTTAGCACCGTATCACTTAACAAGACAAGGAAGTGTGTGTTCGCCAAACACATGCATACAACATGTATATTTGGTTCATCAAATGTGCATCAGGTGTTTCCTTGACATATGTTTTGGGATTTTTTCATTTCGATGCAATCAGGTGACAGTCATTGCATCGGATCAAGGTGTTCCCCAATTATCCTCATCCGTGCTACTCAACCTTACCATTTTGGATCGAAACGATCACGCCCCTCGACTAGTGACAAACAGGGATCAAAGCCGTGGTTCACCGGGTCGCCGGACGTCCGGGAATCAATTTGTGGTGGATGAGAATGCCCCGGCAAACACTTTTATTGGAACGTTAGAAGCGGTGGACGAAGACAGTGCAGAGAATGCCCAGTTGCACTACCAATTGATGGCAGAGAATGAGCCGTTACTAAAAACACGATTTAGTTTGCTGGCTAACGGATCGCTATTTACTGCAGTCACACTAGACCGAGAGGAGCAGGCAAGTGAATTTATATTATTGGATAAATGTCATGAATATTTCTTACTCTTCACCAAGATTTCAATTAATTTTTTTTACCACAAACCTCAAAAATGAAATGGTAAATGTAAATCGTACAATGTTTGATCAATTGCGTCATGCTTAAGATATGTTCTAGGGAGAAGCTGTTCCGTTACTAGATATTCTAACAGATATAATTCAACTAATGTTTAAAGCTCTAATTTTACTTGAACAGAAGTCATCAACTCACCCTGCGTTTGAATTGTGCGTGAGCAGCTTTGAAACTGATACGACTGGACGACTACGTAATTATGACTTTCAGAATAGAGAAATTGGTGTGTTGGAAACTTGTTTTCTGCCCTAAGATCTTTTCTCGTAAGGTAGAATCAGGATCCCCCTATTCTGTGGAGGTTGCGGTCACCTTGAGAAGTGCAAGGCAAACGTGACAATGAAATTTATTTAGCATTCAGTTATACAGAAGCATTAACCCCTGGTAAGTTAAATTTGTCAATAAACCCATCCTCCCAGAAATAGTGTTTCATCTGGAAAAAGTGGATTGACATACATTTCGAAACCGATCAGGCTAAACGAATTTCGGAAAGCTGGAATTTGACTTCGCTTCTCCAAGAAACCGGATCCTATTTTCACAACTAAATCAACCGTACGTTCTTCTGCATCGGCTACCATGTTGTAAAACGTGCACCTCATGTTGTCGGTTGATTCCGAGCAATGAGCTTGAATGTAACGGTGTGCGTTTGCATATTTTGATCGGGGCTACGGGGACGAAGGCCGGTTTGAGTCGCTCAATGTAAAACTATCAGACTTGTCGCTGCAACCCGATAGGGCGCGGTTTTTAAAAAGGTGTCGTCAACGTCTATGCACTTGAGTTTGAACCCAACCTCAGTCAGTGTTTGCTTTTCACTACAACCACAGAGTACTTTCGAAAGTAATCCACTGCACACTTTGATCATGCACGCCGATTGAAGATTCGTGATCGATTACGCCCTGAACATGCAGCATACGGCAGGGACCTGGTTCGGCAGCTTGTTTGTGCGTACTCGCTTTGACCGCTGTCTGTTCGGAAAGTATACATGCATGCACGACACCAGTGAATGCCTCCATGACGTTGTGACGAATTCAACCGCAATGAGTGTCTAGGGTTATTAGAAAGTCAGCGATCGGTTTTAGTGGGTCAATATTTGTAAAATGTGCTTAGCGAGAAGAGCTGCATAAATGAAACTGTTTTCTTCCAAGCTACTTGTGCGGATTGGTTATTCCGTTTTACAACAGAAAATGTCTATTTATGTTCACCTTTCCTGAATTCCATCGATTAGTTGTTACAGTGGATACTCGTGCACAAATTATTTTCTATTTCACTGTTATTTTTCCCATAGAACAATACACTTATCCGCCGATTCTGAAATAAGCGTTGTATCTATTTTTTTTCTTTGTAAAACCCTAAACGTAGGAGGAATATCGTCTTACCTTTATGGTTACAGACAAGTCCCTGACAAATCCACTGTCTACCACCGCGACAGTCACCATCATTGTGCGTGACTTGAATGACAATCCCCCGGAATTTATCCGTCCAAAGGAGCTGATACACACAAGTGAGTGAGTGACAAGGTGGATAAGTGAATAAACGACGATGTGTTTCACGTGACGAATGTGTGTTTCAAAGCTCAACTGTGTGTGTGTGTGTGTGTGTGTGTGTGCGTGGCGGGGGAGGGCAATGTTGGCCGGCTGGCTACAGCCTAGTCCCTATTGCTGTCGTAATGGCCAACGCACACCGTGGTTAAAATAACATATCGGGTTGTTTATGTACGGGTCTGTGAGCCAATCAGTCTGAACAGTCGGGCTAAAGTGAAGTTTCTACGACTCGGAGAAACGCAGTAAACAAAAACCACGGTGGTTTATGGTTTATGAAATTTTATTTATTTCATTTCGATAAGCCCCACAAAAAAAAACTGAGTAACTTATTTATTTCATATCAGATATTTTCATGTCTATCCAGTCCAACCCACTCCATGAGATGTAATATTTCACCTCTCATTATATTTTAGCATTCGATTTCGATTGACTAACTGATGACTGGAATAGATAGAATGAAAGGGGAGAGAGAGCTAAAACATTCATCATTTTTTGACAGCTAATGACAAAAAATAGTAAACATGTGTAACGCGCAAAATAAAAACGCATCTAGTTTATTTCTATTTGTTTGTTATTTTGTTGAACTAAAACAAATGCGTAAAATATTTGAAAAGCGCTTAGTGCATGAAAAACCCGTTTGGTCTGCATAAACTCCGTTCAGTTGGCGTTCGTTTTTAAAATGACTGTGCGTCATTGGCAAGTAACCTGATGTCAATGATGCAGATGATCAAGGATGCTCGATGAGAGAGCGTTTCGTAAGGAACGGTCTTTTGGACTCCTTGACCCCGTGTTCCACATACAACAGAATGATACAACCCGCCAAACGGTAGAACACAACTGACAACTTTACAAAACCAATAGAGACGTGTGAAAACAATAGAAGAAAGTCGGAAGGTCCCACCCAGTACCAGAAGCCCTGGTGGAATTACCTAGTTGGGAGGTCAAATAAACAATCGGTTAAAGAGGGAAATGATTAACATGCCATCTCGCGTGCATATAGCTGAAAAAAATGCGCACATTTAATTACTCAACTTTTTGATATCCTATTTCCTTTTATCTTTCCTTGTAACACTCCTATCACTTCGATTACCCAAAGTGAATAAACCGACGTTCAATATACTCTGTTGCTCAATATACACTGTTGTAATAAATAACCCTGAGGGCGAAAGCAATTCTCTGCGAAAACGTAGCTTTTACTATATTTCAAATGGGATTTCGTCGTGTATATAGCAAATGAAGCGTGAACTGTATAGTTAGGACGCACTGGACAGCTTTTTTGATCTGGTTAGGTCTCATCAGCAGTACGAATCCATCGACCTAACTGGGGATCGAACCCGGGACTTCATGGGCAGAACGCAAGCATGCTACCCACTATGCCACCGGCAGCCGATCAGACAGTTTTTCATTTTCCATCTACACGATATAGCCGAACCCATCTTTGTGAGCTTGATGAGACCCAACCAGGTCGAAACAGCTGTTCAGTGCTTCCTAGTTTTCAGTTCACGCTTCATTTGCTATAAATGCAACGAATTTCCATTTGAAATTTAATCCAATCCTCCATTGCTCACTTTCACTATATATTCATTCTCTGAAAACACTCGCCGTAATCTTCTGACCGACAGATAGTATGTTTGTGACCGTTCTCTTCAGAGTGAATTTATGGTTGGATTCTTTAATAATTGGTCACATAAGATCATCCAATGGCGAACATCCTATTCCAGTAAAATAATTCCTTATTTTTGATACCTATACACCAAAGCAAAGGGACGTTTCGATCTCTGTCTGATATAGATCCTTAATCATTCTGTAAGCGGTAGTAAATCTTGCGCATTACCAACAGCGCGTGAGCACAATGGACTACCTGTTCATTTCGGCGAAGGTGGTTGATATTACTTGACTCAGAATGTCGATGGATTTCAACTCTAGGATAGTGAGAGGTTCTACAAATTTATTGTGTTATGCGCTGTAGATACCTGCAGTTTCTTTCTTATTTGGTTGGTAATCAATGTTGTCAGGACCACTTTTTGTATTCAATCTACCGTCCACTGCATGGTATTGAGACTGTGGTGCGTCTACAATCGTGATGAGATGATTCAAGTTAAAGTAATTTTTGAAGATTTATTTAGGAAATCCTAACGAGCTATTACTTCTATTGTCTCAGGGGCCCCTGGGGTACAAGTGTTTCGACTGACAGAGAAAACAGAAATGACCAAAGTTGTAAATAGCAACATGTAAGTTAAACCATTGTTTGAGCAAATCTCTGCTTGAAGGAGTTAGTTGTTGTCAAACAAACAATATGAATCAATAGACAGTTTCAGTTTTATTGCACCACCGGTGAAATTTCGGTGGATATTTTGGAATTATCACCGAAAACGATATCTACGCAAATGGCTACTGTGGATAGTACAAATGATCTGATCCCTGCAGTATTTGGTATACCAAAACCAAACAAGCGTAACCCTAAGGATTGTGGACTTTTAGGAAAATTATTCTTGACCATTCGTTACCGTTTTTGTGAACGTTCGAAACCTTAAGATCGAGTTGCAGGAGTCGGTTTTTAGATAGAATATATATATATATATACATTTATTACAATAATCTCATCTGTAATATCGGGTAATTTTGGATGGACAGCTCTTTTAGACCCGGTCCATTGAAGAATCACTACTGTGATTCGATGTTTTATAGATAGGTTAGATGCTACTAACTGTGATGAGCGCGACTTGAGTGTATTTACAGAATACTTTATAACAAGTAGTACCTGAATGACTTGACAAAATTTCCCTGGAAGCATACAACCGGTTTTCCGGATCTTGCCGCTTGTCAGGCATGCGAATCTGGCAAACTTTCGTCAGTTGATTCATATAACCTCATTTGCAATAAACGATGGGGCTAATTACTTTCCGAACGGATTTAACACTCGAATGATCTCTCAAGCAATTCCCGCAGTGGTACACGAAAAGAAAACAGTAACCTTCTCTGGGTGAAGTATTTCGTGGCGAAGCAGAAACCAATAATCATCGAGAACACCGAAATTTACGATGAATCAAACCCGTGAATCTGGCATTATTGCAATTGAAAAGTGTACTATTTGGAAGTTCAAAATTTCACGGTTGAA